CCAGGGCACAAGCTAATGTTTGCCCAGGGTCCATTCAATATTAAAGACAGCCCTGTACTTCGCCACAGATTTATGAAGTGCTCCTTCTAGCCAGCATGCCTTTCTTACCTTGACAGCATACTGGTGGCAGCCAACAATGCCTGTTTATGGTGACAGTGAAGGAGGTCTAAACTTAGTAGCATGGCAGACTAGGAGTGGACTTTTATGACAGCAAGGCTACTGATCTCTCCTGCTACATATTGAAATCATGAAAAGCATTGTGCAGACCAAATTGGTTGGAAGAGCAGCCAGACACCATTGTGAATTGTCCTTCACACATCATATCTTGTAGTGAACTCTGAAATTCCCAGAGGCAATAGAAAATGTTGGGTCCCCACTATGACTTGTGGATAGGACAATAATAGGTCAGCTTGTTGCAGTCCTATAACAATTTAGGGATATTACAAAAAACTTGAGTTACAGTAATGTAAGTTTAGGAAAGGTAACCCCCTTGTTCACTGATTTTATGAACAAGATGGATGCCTTCCTGGAAAACAGATACATTTCTGTAGCAGCAATAAACAAAAGGCTGAAAGACCTACTCAATGCTTGTCTGCGTCAACGAGTTGATAGTTGCTCTGAACTAATACTAGCTTCCCTGTTTGATCCTAGGATTAAGAGAAAATTTGCACTCAGTATGGCATTTTGGAGGGACAGACTTATGGACAAGGTCCATGATTTGCTGTGAATGAGAGGTATGCTGGTTGACAGAGGTTTGCAGATTGAACTTAACATGTCTGCTATTCCCAGCAACACAACCCTAAAAAAGCAGTGAAGAGTGTTTGAATTTTGGTGGATGTAAGTAAAGCATCAAGCAGCCAAAAGGAGAGTAATACCTCTGAAATTGTCAGAGCTTGCCTCTGTGAACCTCATTTGCCTTTTACTGCCAACCCTCTGGCACTGGAATGACAAGAAGTGTGAATGGTCTGCTTCTCTGCCCAGCTGCTATTGTCCTGTCCACTGACCTCTGTCCAAAGTGAGTACAATCCACAGATAGATAGGTACAAATAGCCTTCCTGAAGTTCAATCTCCCCAAGTTCCTCTTTTTTTTAATTTAAAGTTCTCCTGCTGCTTGCCCCCTCCTCCCCCCTTTTTAAAAGCCTTTCATTGTAGTAAATCTTAAGAGGGATGCAAAATTGCATATAATCTTATTTAATGCTACTAGCACTTGTAGTTACTTGAGGCCAAGATCTAATTTTGAGTACATTTCCATTTTACTTTGCGCAGCCCTCAGGAACAGAATATACAATTACTGTACTATCAAAGTGAGTAACTAGTATATTCTGTTAAATGTTCTCCTTTTCATTTATATCTGTTTGCAGTGTATGTAACTTGATTTCCATCTAATTGTATGTGTCTGCATGCACAGTGACCATTTTTAGTTATAATGTTAATTTAGTTATAATAAAACAAATGTTTCTTTATTAAGTTCTGCCTTTGGTAAAGAATCACATTAGCCAAAGAGACTTATTTCATATTATTTTTTATTTCATAGTTATATTGCAAAATTGTGTTTTGTGGGTTTTTAAATTTGAGATTAAAACCACAACGTCATCTAGTAAACATCTAAAGGTGTAATTGGTTTTGTGATTTTCTGTGAAGTAATTTCAGCTCAGTAAGGATACACCATAAAATAATCTACTCCAGACTCTTGTAAATCTGTCCTAAATAATCTTATGTATGGTAAAAACTTCATTATTTGAAGGAAGAAAAACATTTCCATTTGGCCTAGTGAATGTTACTGGTAAAACAGTGTGATTTGTCTTACCTCTCACCTTATAACATATGAGCGTGTGTCAACACAAATACATGCCTGGGCATGTACATATAATGTAATACATAGTGCAAAACTGCAAGTGTGAGGACCATTTCTAAAGTAATAATTATGAAGGACTGAAACAGAAATGATGTCTGCAGTTTTTATCAACCAAATTCTCACATAGAAAAGAGAACAATGGCACTGGAAGGTGCACTGATGGAAAAAAATTCACTTGTCATATCTCAAAGTAATGAAGGTTCGATGTGAGGATGTTCAACAGCTAACCAATGAGATTATTCTACAATATTTAACATGTCTTTTCCGCTATATAAACCAATTATATTATCAAGACACAATATACTAGTTTAATACGCATTTATCAAATGTATCATGCAGACGATGATCACTGTGAAACATCCTAAATCTTGAAATCTGGCTCATACTTCATTTTATAAGTGGTTTTCCTTTTCTATAATGAAATTATAGAATAAATATTATTTTTTATAATGGAATTCCAAATTACCTCTACAGTTAAACCCTCAGCAAACAGCAGTTAGGTATCCTGGTGGTTTATTAAGCCATCAAAAGTTGGAGTGCAATGTTTCAACACCAAATGTGTCTTCATCAAACCCTTTTTAAATATTTTCCTATTTTCAGCCATTTGTGTAAAATTTTGCCTCACCATCCTACCCATTAGACCGTCCCTGCACAATGTAACCCTTTCTCAATAGGTAAGACTAGACCAGACTTTTCTATTAGGAAAAAAAAGGTTGTTTTTTTTAATTTACTTTTTAGCTTAAACACATTTTATTAGAATCCTGTGTAATATGGTTTTCTACTGTCTCTACTGCCATTGTTACATTTTAGGATGTTTGTTGTCTTTACCTATCCAATTGGATGAAATTATTTTTTGTTTTATAATGGTGTGTTTTTTGTTACTTTATTATTGAGAGGACTTTTTACTCCCACTCTTAGAGCAACACTAAACTTGCAATTTATTCTATATCCACCTTACTGAGGAGTCAGTAAGGTGCACTTTTTGTGGAATAATTTTACACCTGACTTAAGGCTGATATCTGTGGAGACATATCTATCAATGCAGTATTCTCTGTGTATTCTAGTACCTCACCATTGTTCTTGGTGTTCTTAGCTGCTTATATCATCTTACAGTGTCAATCAAGTTTTTGTTTTACAATTTACTGTATAGTGTGCTTTTTGTTACTTTAAAATTGAAAATCTAAAATCTAAAATTAGAGAATGTTTTGTAAAAAGAAAATAAAATGTGTTAAAAAATAGCTCATATCTTAAAGCCAACACAAGGTCTGACCCAATGAAGATAATACTCTATCATGCATGTTGTTGGTCACATCATGTTATGTGCCTACTTCACATGAGTTTGGTCAGGAGTTGTTTTGGGTGGAAAAATAAAAAAAGGCAAAGTTAAAAATGTCAAATGAAAAAGTCAAAGAATTTCACGTAAACCACATATTAAGTACTGAATTATACCTTAGGCAGTTTAACGGTTTCATTATTTGATGCTTTGCATGTAGATTTACTATCCTTATTGTAGATGCGAATATCCATTATGCTCAATATCCTAGCTGTTCATATAAGGGTTAATTTGAACCAAGAATAAATTTGGAATTGTATCTCCAATTCTCGGAAATAAAACTTATCTATTTACGGGAAATGTTATTGGAACTTGATTTTGGATATCTACATGACATGACATGATAAGGATTCTGGAATGACCTTGTTAATTGTCCAAGATTTCGGTATTTGTAATCATCTGGGTTTTATCCAATATGCATACATTATGTAACATCGAATTATAACTAAAAACAGCTGTTTATAACTTGTGAAAAACAATGTCATTGTCACGCCCATATGCTCATTTTTCCCCCTCTCATCCTGCTATGAAAATGGGGTATAAATATAACTGACGTATGAATACAATTTGAATTGGTTATCGAACATGTCTCTGCTATTCATTTCCAATTTCCAGAGCTCTGAATGAGTTGGCAAATATCCATCATCCACAAAGGGCCCGGGCTGATTTTATCCCCAACAAATTGGTGTCAGAAGTGGGATAACTGTATGGAGGTTCCAACATGTATTAAAACATGATCACACACCGACAGAACTGGTGGCTTTTTGGACATCGGGATCTATAAAAGGTTTCGGTTTCCAAAGATGTTATCAGGGTCCACAAAACTGACAGACTTCAGCATTCCAATGTTATTAAAGTAATTAATTGAGATTATCAAATCAAGGTTTAAGTTTAAGAACAGCATTTTATTGGGAATTATACCAATATGTATATGTTAGTGTTTTAATACTCAGCAAGCATTTATATAGAATGAGTGCTTCTCTCATCCATACAAAGGCATTTTAAAGGGAAATTATGTATTAAAATTTTATAAAGGACAAATACAAAAACATAAACATAAAGGACATAAACAAAACTGAGAGACGTACATGTTACACTAGTTAAGAGTTTAACTTTAGTCTCTAATTTGAATTTAGCCTAGATAATTAATTTATTGATGTTGTACTGATCCTTGTGTTTGTATGATTATAGAGACCATACTGGAGTATTTGTGCTGCCTGATATTTGGGACTACACACCAATCTCTCTGGCTGACCTACCTGCCTACCTACCTTTTTTGCAATTAAATCTGTTTGGTCAAAATCCATGCTGGCTGAAGAAACTGAGATGCTTACTTATGAGGACATAAACTAACTTGGAAAGTCCTGAAGATGCAGTGCTGTCTAATGCCGCTATTTCTGTATTACCCTTTCAGCAATTGGGGTGTTGCACAGAGTATTGTGGTGAACATCCAGCAAACAGAAGAATTAAGAACTATGTGGAAGCTGACATTGTTTTGTTGTCAGCCATATTGCTACCCTTAGCTATGTTATGGTGTCTAAGATTATGGATCAAAGTTTATGGTGTCTAAGATTCTTTATACTCCTTGAAAGACTTTTAATATTTTTCTGGACTATGCTGGACTATTGAACTATTTTGTTATTTTTATTTTTGTAGAGTTAGCCGGAGAGAGAGGAAGTATTAGCTTACTCAGGCATGGATGTACTATGTGTGTCATTGATGTATGTTGAGTGTACCAAGGATGGATTCCCATGTATTAAGTGTGGATATGACTGGACCATCGAAATAGGGATTTGATTAGGAGGCATTGGACGCAAGGTCATGATTGGGATTATTGCTAGAATTGCAAACTGATTAGAAATGATCTTATGATTTAATATGTAAGTGGGCCTTTTCAAACTAATCAAGAAGTGTTTCCCAATCCCGATACCCGAGCTATTTACTTACATAGTGCAGGTTTTATAAGTCACTAATGCTGTCAACGTGAGGGGATGACATGTCTACACAGTCATGGCCCTCACTTAGAATTTACCCAGATGTGCTTTTTTCCTCAGTTATGAGTTTTTGCCACTGGGTTTTTTGACCTGGCCCAAGTTCACTGGGTGGACTGGTCCAAAGAGGGAAAATAGATTTTATTCCCATTTTTGATTATATGTGTTTACGTTGTGAATTATAATAATAATATTCCCGTTGTTGGGAATAATACACTTTGCCTGTTTTGATCCAAGGCTCAAGTTGCAGATAACATGATGTGCAGTCTGTTTAAAATTGGTTAAGATGTCAGCTGTTTGAAATTTTTAACTTGTACACTTAAAAGATGTGTACAACAGATGATTACAGAAGCTGAAAATCGACAGCTCGATCTCCTCTTAAAGGGAACACCTACGGCACAGAGCAAATGGGGGAAATCGAGGTGAAGAAATAATGAAAGTCCCGCAGACGTGATTAGCACGTCTGAATATACCTCCTTTGGTTTCTCTGCCGCAGGCCTCCCATGGATATTCCGTAAGGTAGATCATGATATGATCTAAGAGGGGAATTGTAGATGCGAATATCCATTATGCTCAATATCCTAGCTGTTCATATAAGGGTTAATTTGAACCAAGAATAAATTTGGAATTGTATCTCCAATTCTCGGAAATAAAACTTATCTATTTACGGGAAATGTTATTGGAACATGATTTTGGATATCTACATGACATGACATGATAAGGATTCTGGAATGACCTTGTTAATTGTCCAAGATTTCGGTATTTGTAATCATCTGGGTTTTATCCAATATGCATACATTATGTAACATCGAATTATAACTAAAAACAGCTGTTTATAACTTGTGAAAAACAATGTCATTGTCACGCCCATATGCTCATTTTTCCCCCTCTCATCCTGCTATGAAAATGGGGTATAAATATAACTGACGTATGAATACAATTTGAATTGGTTATCGAACATGTCTCTGCTATTCATTTCCAATTTCCAGAGCTCTGAATGAGTTGGCAAATATCCATCATCCACAAAGGGCCCGGGCTGGTTTTATCCCCAACACTTATCAAATAACTTATGACACAGTCCACTTTGGAAAAAGTAACTGAATTGGTATTGTAACGTTTTGTGAAATGTACCTGTTTATATTTCCTTATATATATGTGATGTTATCAAAAGTGGATGCACTTCCTACACAGAAGATATACACAGTGTACCCAGTGTAACCTGGTGTATTCTGCCTGCCAAAATGCACATTCATACCTGCACAGTAAAAAAATAGTTTTGACTGCATTGGAGTCTATTCACAGTAAAGATGTTTGTTGCTACGTGACAATCAAATTGCAAAACTTAGTCCAAAAGAGGTATGGAACAGGTTTCAAAAAGATGGGGAAAAAATTGCAAATTCAGCCTTTGTATCAAATGAATCTAAATTTGCCTACATTTTGTAAATTGTTTGTCGACTTTTGAAAACTTTTGAAAAACTGTTTAGTACAAGCATGTCAAACTTAAATTCTATCACGGGCCAAATAAACAAGGTTTAAGTTTATGCGGGCCGCAAAAAAACAAAAACTTAAATTGTCATAGAAACATAGGTTTACTTTGAAAAGTACTGTAAACCACCCCTCCCCCCAGCACACCCCTCTACTAAATCCCAGTCCCTACCTCTATTAAATCCCAGTCCCAACCTCCACTAAATCCCAGCACCTCCCTCTACTAAACCCCTGCCCCTGTTTGAAAAAGAAAAATCAATATTAGCCAGCACAAACACACAATAAGTGGAACTAATACACCTATTAATATTGTATTGCAGTGGGGGTAAAGGGGATCCCTCACTAAGTGTTGAACAATCTTTTTCCACTATTAAGTATACAGAAAGTGTACAATATTAGCCAACAAGCAGACTCCACCCATATTGCCACTGCCAGTATCCAACTCCGAAGTCCGGCATCTGGTATTCCCCCCAATGGTGCCGTTCACACCCTGTGCGAAAGCGGATCCTCCCACTACTCCTTGAATCCCTGTGAAGGCGGAGCACGCCAATGTCACATCGGAATGTGACATGATGTTGCGTGCCTCCATTCACCTCGAGGTCCTCCACTGTCCAGCACCAGCCATCGCCACTGACACTGACCGAGACACTCTCACTGACAGACACACTCACTGACACATACACTGACAGACACGCACACTGACAGACACACTGAAAGATACAGACATACTCACTGACAGACACACTTACTGACAGACACACACTGACAGAAAGACTCACTCACTGACAGACACTCACAGACAGACACACACTGACAAAAACATTCACTGACAGACACACACACTCACTGACACACACTCACTGACACACACTCACTGACAGACAAACGCATTTCCACATTGTGTGTCACTGACAGACACACTCACTGACAGACACTCTCTGACAGGCACACACTCACCGACAGGCACACTCACTGACAGACACACACACTGGCAGAAACACTCACTGACACATACTCACTGACAGACACACACATTTCCACATTGTTGCACACACTCACAAATCATTTTATGTATTGTTGATTGCTCCCTAGCTTTGGGAGCTGGTTTGGGGCCTCTCCTGGAGTCCTTCCTGCTCTGCACTGCTCCCTTATGCTCGCAGTTTTGTGATACCGGGCCGGAATGATGTCATATTCTGGCACCTGGCATCACCACAGAGAGCGCACGCAAGAAGTGAGAAGCAGGAAGAACAGACTACGCTCCCTCGCTGCTGCCAGCTTCCTGCCTCCTGCTTCTTCTCCCCCCAGCCTTGTAAATTTCAGCAAAATAGGGCACCTTCAATGTGGGGAGAGCAGGTGTCTACTATGCCTTAACAGTAATCACTGTTCTGGGGGCGCCCCTAGGTGTACAGCTGTCCACCACTTGGGCCCCCTGTTACACTCATCTAATAGTCCCCCAGCTCCTGGCCCAGGATTGCCCCCCTATTAAAATACATTTCTTTGCAGAGCAAAGATATTCATTGTGGGCCGCGAGTTTGACATGCTTGGTTTAGTATAGAGATTGCTAAGTCTACACAAAGGCCTACCTATTATGGCAAGCAAAAACAAAACAAAACAAAACATGTATATAAAAAATGGTTTGAAACAAACAGCAGGGAAAAACAAAACAAAACATTTTTTGCATTTCTTTTTGGCACAATGCATGATACTCAAAATAAAAGTGTGAATGTTTAAGCCTGTGCAAATTAAATGGCAACATATTCTTCTGTTAAAATCGTAGATAATTGTAGTTATTTTTTTACTCCTAATAATTATAGGTTGACTGTCAACTTTCCCGTCCGGCAGAAGGCCACAAAAGGATTAGGCGAAAAATTTGCAGTAGCCTTGAAGCTACAAATACAGTAATTAGCAAGTCTGCATCTCCAGCTTCAGTGATGAATGTTCACGGTACATATAAAAAGCACAGTATTTGCTTTCATGCACTTAACTTGAATAATCAGCCTTTTCTATGCAGTGGCCACTATATCCACATTATTATAATTTTATATGCCAAACTCAGAGTACACCCTTGGGCAAAATTCTTTCTAAATGAAAAGACAAAAAGTCAAGTTGCTTGTTCTGTTAATTTGCTATTAACAATGTGCATCTTAAAACCCAACTCCCTAGATCAAGGTACCAAAAATAAGTAATAGTTTGCTGAATGCTAACCGTGAATATAGTGACTATATTTTATTTGAAAAGAAAGGTTGTCATCACAAATTCAAGATCAATGTATAAACTGTATGTCTTGTTGTAAACAACTGCACAATTTGGGAGTAAAAAAATAATCAACATATTGTATTTAATATCTTTAGTATACCATAGCTAGTATTAAATATTATTTCAACAACATCTCACTTGGCTGACATTGGACAAGTATTAGTCCTCTGGCAGGTTTCTTCATACAAAAATCCTCCTCTGCGTCTCAGCTTGAATTAGAGATCTGGGTACATCCTCTGTGTAGGAAGTGCCTCCACTTAAAAACATGATGTTTGGAAACATCAAATATATATAAGGAAATATAAACAGGTACATTCCACAAAACGTTACAATACCAATTCAGTTACTTTTTCCAAAGTGGACTGTGTCACAAGTTATTTGATAAAGATAGTAAATCTACATGCAAAGCATCAAATAATGAAACTGTTAAACTGCCTAAAATGTATAATTCAGTACTTAATATGTGGTTTACGTGAAATTCTTTGACTTTTTCATTTGACATTTTTAACAGTAGAAGGTAGAGAACTCGAGGCAGGCCCAACCAAGACTGATGGATCCCATACTTCAGAGTGTCAGTAGCACAATGCATTGAGGATTTGAAAATATGCATATGTGCGTGCTTGTAAATTGACACACATAGATAGACAGACAGACAGACAGACAGAGAGAAAGATAGATAGATAGACAGACAGACAGACAGATAGATAGATAGATAGATAGATAGATACCTACTGTGGATAAATAGGAAGGATAAAAATTGTTTCAACATACATAAACAGAGTAGTAATACAATACTAAAACAAAACAGAGAGTATGCTGAAGTGGAGGAATTATCCTTACATAGCATTTTATATCTCCTTGCAAATGAAAAAGAAAAAAGATGAGATGTCTGAGCAAGTTGAAGCCAGCTGCCCCCAAGCAGCATTAATCTGCATGAGCAGCACTTATGCGGCTGGTAAGCCAATCTGAAACTGACCTTGGCAGGGCTACGGGGGCAAACTTTACATAAGAATGAATGATCTTTGTTCAATCTCTGCAATGTATTTGGCAGAAGCTTTTTTTTTTTTTTTAATGTCCGGAACATGTACGCCCTTGTGTTCTAATAATTCTTTTTCTTAAGGAAACATACGCTACAATGGACGTATTTGGCATCAAATTAGTTTTGAGGGATTGAATGTGCGATGAAGGAGTAAATAAATTATTGTGCTTTTGGCCCTTTTCAGCCTATGTTTATCTTGATGTGCTGAATGTAAGTATCAATACTTATTATGGTTTATTAGTCACTAGTGGCCAAGACAGAAATAAAAACA